CAGGAATCAAAGTTTATAATTTGGCTTTTTCAAAATTTATTCAACAAATATTTATTGAGAATTTACTTATGTGTCCTAAGCACAGAGGGATACAGCATTGAACAGAACAGACAAAATCCCTCCCTAAAGCCTACATTGCAGTAGCGGAAGAAAGACAATAAACATAACAAATAAATTCTGTAGCATTTTAGAAGGTGGCAAATGCTATGAGACAAAAAAATTTAGAGTCACTTTATTAGATGAGATATTCTGGTTGGAGATACAAGGAAGGGCTGCAACTGATTGATTGACTTATTGATTTGAGAGGAAGGGAAGCAAGGATGGGAGGCAATGGAGGAGGGAGAGAGAGACTGCTGCTCCACTAATTTATGAATTCACTGGTTGATTCTTGTATGTGCCCCGACCAGGGATCAAATCCGCAGCCTTGGCGTATTGGGATGACACTCTAACCAACTGAGCTACTTGGGCAGGGTAGGGTTGCAATTTTAAATAGGTGGTCGGGGTAGGCCTGTATTAAAACAGGTGATATGTAAGAAGAGAGGTGAAGGAGATGAGAAAGTGAATCATTTAAATATCTTAAGGGAAAAGCCAAGGCTAAGGCCTTGAGGCAGGAAAGTGACTGATGTGCTCAAAGACAGTGTCCAAGCCGAAGTGGCTGGATCACAGTGAGCCTTTGGAACTAGGAAGGATGGAGTTGTAACTAATGAAGATGGGGACGGTCTCTGGAAGGACTGGGAAGATTAGGGGCTCCATGTGGGGCATGCTGAAGATGACTATTACATATCCAAGTAGAGGTGTATAATGAGCAGATGGACATATGAGTCTAGAGAACAGAGATGTGTAGGCTTGAGACATAAAATTAGGAATCATCAGCATTAGAGAGTGTTTAAGGTCATAAGGCTGTATGAGATTCCTAGGAAGTAAGGTCCAAGTAATGAACTCTGTGGTACTCCCCTCTAAAAATCTGGAGAGAAGAGAAATCTGTAAAGATGACTCAGAAGGAAATGCCAGAGAGGCAGGAGGAAAAATAAAAGACACAGTGTCATGGAAGCCAAGTGAAGAGAATGGTTCTAGAAGAAATGGGCCATCAACTGCATCAAATGCCACTAACAAATTAAGTAAGATGAGAACTGACCACTGAATTTAGTAATTTGGAGATCACCAGGGAACTTCACAAGAGCAGTTTTGGCAGAGTGGTACGGATTAAAGTCCGATCAGAGTAGGTTTAAGAGTGAACAAGAGGAGAGGAATTAGAGACAATGAGCTTACAAGTTTTAAGAATTTTTGCTATTAAAGGGTACAGAGGAAGGATGCAGAGTGAGGTTGATATGGGCTTATTTTTTTCTTTTAAGATGGGAGAAATAATAGTATGCAGTCGGGAATGACCCAGTCAACAGCAAAACAATGAAGATGCAAAAGGGGTAAGGGAAGATTGCCAGTGCTACATCCCCGGGATGGGCGCCCACGCAGGGGCTGCCTGTCGGCGCAAGGACAGCAGAACAGGAGTCGCGGAGGGAAGTCAGGGCACAGGGGAACAGGTGCTGGTGGGGAGGGAGACACGGTAATGGGGTACTCGGAAGATCCCTTCTGAGTGCTTGAACCTTCTCAGTGATGTAAGAAGCAGAGTAACCAGCTCTAAGTGACGGTGGCAGAGAAGGGATCAGAACAGAGGAAGAGATGTATAAAAAAAAAATCACCTTGGAAATCACTTTGGATTGTGCTACTCAAAGTGTGGTCCAATGTCTTGTGCTGCTCTGCAAATTGTTTGTTATACTGATAAACAATGTAACAGTACAGAAACTGAGAAGTGTGCCTGGTGTGATCAGTGGGTTTGCCTCACTGTACAGTACACTTTCCAAGAACATGTATACGTTTTGTAATTTTATTCCTATGTTATGATCACTCTGCGTATATTTTTTGAATTATAACTTTATTTTTGTTAAATCTAATAGACATTTTGGGTTTGCATATTTGTCTTTTTTAAAATTTCATTTTTCTTAATTCATTTTATTGTTCACAATGAGGTGGGAGAAAGAACTGGTCCATCACCACACATAAATTGAGAAATACTCATCCAGACAAGCTGGGCAATAATTGGACTAGAAAAATGTTTCGTAATTGCCAAGCAGCATTAGGGGCGCACATGAGGCTTATAGTCATTAGCTTAAAGACCATCAGCATGGTGGAGTGATTTTCTCCAGACACATTATACTGCATGGAAGCAGGCAGGGGAGACGAGGGGCAGGATTTAACTGAGCTATCTCACCGCCAAGTGAGTACGATGATGCAATAAAAGGGCAAGAAAACAGTGTGCAAGGGAGCGATGACAATGACTGACCATAAAACTCAGGCTGGGTGGAGAGGGAAGAAAGGATATCAGAGTATAAAGGGAAGACAAGGTGACAGGATCAATGGATCATCAGTTGCAGAAGGATTGAAGGATTTCTGGAATTAGGGATGAGCTAAAATGACAGGAGATGATGGTCGTAGAGTATCATGCATATAGTGAAGGTATAAAAAAGTTGAAGCAATGAGGCAGGGTGGAGGAAAAGATTCTTGAAGGAGAGCAGTTCAAAGAACTAAAAGCCACATGTTGAAAGAATCACGTCTCCGGATTCAGAATCACAAATTAAGGCCAAAGTAATGTTGGAGATGACAATGAGCCAGGAGCAAAAATCAACCAAATGTCTGGGGATTGGAAGGTGACTACATGAGATTCAGAATTTGGGCTTTTTAGGGAAAATGAGAGAGAACAGACAGGAAGCAGTCATGGAAGGAGAAGGACACCTACTGTAGGCAGCGTGGTCTGAGGGACATGGGAGAGAAACAGCCAACACTTCACAGAACCTCGCAGAAGACAGTGTCCTCAGGGAAGATACAGGTTCTCATGAGACCAAGAAATTAAGGGACTCCTTCAGTAAGAGGTGGAAGAAATGCTGAGTTTGCTGCTGCTGGACTGTAAGTTGCACAGGGCATAGTAGAAGGGTTTCAAGAGGTAGAGCAGAATGAGTGAATGGCAGAGACAGAAAGGAGGTTTACAGAGCCACAAGCAGAGTGTGGGAGATGAGGGGTTTCCCAGATATCTAGGGTTACTCATGACGACTGCCATGAAAAGGCATAAAGTACCTAAGATATTGTTTTGGAAAATTATTCATCATGGACAGTTATTTTATAAGACAAAAGGGGACCCAGGCCTGGAGTACTCAACTAATCAGCCGTATCTAGTCAGTGGATTATATCTTGGTTCTAGATAAGGCATGTTTATGCTACCCATCCTCAGGCCATTAAATTTCATACAGTACTAAACTAGATAAAATGTAGAGACGGGCATAAGGATGGCAAATGCTCTGTTTGTATTGATTCTTATTAATAACTGTGATTAAAAAAATGATGACAGAGCAGGTTGGTTAAAACGTGCATTTTGAATTATATGTTTATTCAAATTGAGTAACTAAAGTTGTCCTCTACTAATATTCACTCTACTGATTTTCACTATGTATCTACTTAATATAAACACAGCCGCACGTACAAGACTGCTCCAGAAAAGGATGCCCTTTTAGAAATTATCTTAATAAAATTAAATTTATAAATATTAAAATGTTATTTTACTTACTAAATAAATATTCCACCTACAGCTTTCTAGTTATGTGTGTGTGTAAATATATACTTAGCAATGGTCTTTCTCCTTCATTGAATCAGATCTTTCCTCCTCCGTCCTTCCCACTATCCCTCTTTTCCGTCAAGATCATATTGATTTATTTTTGTATATTGTGGAGGTTGGGAATAGGATGGTTTAATGGCCCTACCAAATCAGAATATATCAACTATCTGATAAGTCACCAACAAGCAAATCAATTATTTGGATGTGGAAGGAGCTGTACACTGAACAATTTGAGGAGTGCAGCAGTAATCGTATATGGTAAGTTTAAGAGGGTTTGTATTTTTTTTAATTTTACTTTTTTTTATTTAGAGGGACAGAACGTTTTCTTAGAGCCAGAATGAATCACATCCTGTCCGCCTCTCCAGGCCTGCTCTCTCCCTTCTCTCCCCTGCTGTGTGTTTCAGGAAGCAAACCTCTACAGGACACATCAAGAGCTCGCTCTTCCTCCAACATCAGGTTAGCTGTGGCCAGCAGGTGACACTGGCAAGAAGTGAGAAGTCAGGAGAAGAGAGCGGGAGTGTTCATTCTCCCCGGCGTCCTCCTCGCCGGCAGGTTTTGTACTGCTGCAGGCTGTGTTCTTCTTTTTAAAATATGCTTTTAATGATTTCAGAGAGAGGGAGAGAGAGGGGGAGAAACATCCATTGGCTGCCTCCTGCATGCCCCGACTGGGCCCACAACCCGAACATGTGGCCCAACCGGGAATCGAACTGTGACCTCTGGGTTCATGGGTGAGTGTTCAACCACTGAGCCCCACCAGTTGGGCGAGGCTGTGTTCTTTTGTGTAGAGCCACAGCAACTGCAATGCAGCCCTCTCATGCAGCTCTAGTTCTCTGGAATCCAGACACACTGCTCCCTTCCCTTGACCTGAAGGTCCAGAGTGGTAACTGCTTTCTGCTGTTGCTAGTTCATGGGTGCTTCGCCACCCTCTGGTGGTCCCTTATGTGGCCTACACCTTTGTAAGTAGTCCCTTCATTAAATCTCTTTCAATTAATTTGCTGACTGTTCAATTTGTTACTTGTTAGGAGCTAGACTGATATAATTTCCAATAGGCTATAAGGCCATTTTCAGGGCCAGGTCTACATGACCCGATCCGTTCTCTTTCCAAATTACTCAACTCACATGTCTTTCACTGTTCCTTAGTGAAATCCAGCCCTGTCTTGTTGAAGAACTCACTTCCTCATGGCAACTGCATGTCATTATGACATTAGCAGCATATTAGGCTTACTTAATATTGTATCATTCATAAAGCCTCCATTTTCATAAATGCAAATAAAAACGAGACTGTTTCGGGAACCTGGTCAGAAGAGGGAAGCAGCTTCCTTGGCAACGTCCACCTCACCTCCTTCTCCTTGTTGAGCAGCACCAACTGGCTGTCTGTGAGGATGCAATACTTCCGCTCCCATGCTGTCGTCTCAGTGTAGGGTGACTGGCCACAAGACAGGCGATGTGTAGGTGGCCCTTTCACATCTGGGTGGCACATGTGAAAAACAAAAGTGACAAATCATTATCCTGCTTAGCAAACTAGTATTTCAAACGTAACATTCTTCAAAATCAAATTAGAGATGAGTCTAAACATGAATCTCAATGGTAAACTGAAAACTTAACTTTCTCTTAAGAAAATAAGTACTGTTAACAAATAGAAGTAAAAATTGGTCTATAGTCTGCAGAAAAGAGGCCTGAAACACTCTAGGGAGAACTGTTAGCACAAACTTGACATAGTAACCACTGCTGAATATGCACTAAACTAATGAAAGGTTGCATCAGAGCTAAACCAGTATCATTCAGAATCAAGTGGTGAGGATGCCTCAGAGACAAAAACAAAAGAAAGTGCCCTCAGTCTTTAGGAGGAAGATGCTGCATGCACACTTTGAGAATACTGTTGACCTAGAACTGAGAGTGTGAAGTTATTGGCAGCTCAGACGTTTAAAATGGCTTTATTTCTGGTCACTCAGAAGAATTAGAAATGTTCAAACTATAGCATATTACCACTAGAGGCCAGTAATACCTTAAAATCACAAGGAAGCAATTTCCTCAAGGAAAGATCTAAACATTACCATCATGTCTCTTAGAGGTAGAGGTATACAATGTCAAAGCTAATGTCTCAACTCTTCTAAATGTCTCATTTCCCTATAAAATACCAAGTGGTTACCATTACTTTGTTACTTAAAAATTTTTTGACATAAACTGTTCACTCATTTGGGTTGTTGTATACCTTAGAACATATGTTAATCATAAGAACACATTAGATCCATTAAATAAGACTTTTATGACAGTTCAATACATAGTAAAAGTTGTTTAGCCACGAAGGACTAATTCCTTTCAGGAATATACTTGCAGGGATCATTTAAAATGCATTACTTATTACTGTTTAGTTATTATGCTAGAGGAGCACCTCAAACTAAAGAAATTAGAAAACAAACACCCCTGAGCGCAAGAGTTGTAAATAAGCACATTTTATCTATTAGATGAGTGTTTTCATTATTATTACTTTCTATAAACTTTCAGTCTTTTTACTCACAGGATAAGTATTCCTGGTATTGACTGACTGCAAGGAAATTAAAATGATATCCTAGGTGTTTTATACCATAATTACTCAAATATGCATAACTATAGCCTGAGTTCTATAGAAAGTAAACAAGTCAGTAACTAGGGTAGGTAGGTGTAACATCTATCTTCTTATGGCCCCTTATGGATTCATTATTATCTTCAATGCTCCCTTGGGTTTAACTTCCCATTCTCTCTGAAATGTGTTGCTCTACATGTTGTGGGGAGCTTATCAACTATCCTCCAAAATAATTCAAAACCAAAGAACCAGTAATGTTACCAGGACTTGGCTGGACAATGTGGCTGGTTACCCCCGTTTTCCTGCTTCTGCTCCTCTGCACTGTGCACCACAGGATGTGCTGTATCTACGGTGTCTCCATTACACACCTCAGCTCTCCCCTTGTGTTCTAAGCATCTTAAATTATTTTAAAGTTTTCTTTATACTTCAGAATTCCTAAAATTATCACAAAAAGCTTCAAAGGAAGTGACTCTTAATCCTTTTTTGACATGATAGGAGATTCCTGCCTTTACTTAAAAGCCATGTTAAAGCTAATTTTCTTAATGTGATTTGGATAAACAACTAGGTTACATTTTTACCACAATGTAGGCCTATTTTTAGAGCAAATACCAAGACTACCTTAACAGAGAGGATACACCTATTTTATGTGGTGGTTTTGTGGCCCAGACAAGTTTTCATTCAAATGACTAACCTTCTGATGTAAGTTAGCCATGGGTGACCTAAACTGCCCACTGTAATTTAACTTGAACAGTAATCTTATGATCTCTAAGCAAGAAGATATTGACAGACTCTGTACGTAAAAATTAGGATATAGGCTACTATATTCACAGCATAACTCGGGTTTCTAACAAAATATAAATCAGTATCAGCACTGAATTTCCCTGTGTCATCCTGAGTAATTCTCTTAAAGACTCACTGTGTCATGTTCTCTCTTTCCCCAGCCTGAGCTCTGTTCCTAGTTTCTTCAAAGTTGTGAAACAGGACAACAGTTCATAAAGCATTCTGGGACCCTGAACTCCCCAGAGCGAAAGGTTTTATGAAGTAGGGAGCAATAATTCTATATTTTATACTTTTGTCTAAATTATGAGCTTGATTAGCCATGCTATATATTTTATAGTTTCACTTTTTTTTTACTGTGCTCATTTTTTGATAATTTTATGAGATGCATACCAACAAAGATGAAAACAAGAAGTTAGAATAAGTGGTTTTGGGGGGACTCTTTTTAGCACTTCTAGATTAAGTTTTAAAAAGCATTTGTTAAATAACAAGATAAAACAGACTGTAAAATAACCTACAGATTTAATTTATTCTTTCTATCATGTCCTCATTTCTATGGCTAAATAAGGTTTAACAGTACATTTGTGAAGCCTGTATACTGAGACTATATTAACAGAACAAGCTCAGATCAATGTCCTATTTCACCTACCAATTCTACCAATCAATCTCAACCTCTCTCTATAGCTCTCTTTTTTGTTCTAGTGATATACTTCCAATTTTTGACTTCTAATTATATTCAGTGTCTAAAACTCACTAGAGAAAAGGAAAACTTAGAATTACAAATAAAAATTTTAACAGAAAAATTGGGAAAAAATTAAATTTACCCTGTCCCATTCCTACAAGGATACTAAGGACATTGGATGCTGGTCCTTTTACAAAAACTGAATAATTTTAGAAACATTAAAAAGAATCAGAGGTTACTGAACGGTTCCTTTGGAAAGCATTGCTCTAAGGCTGTAATTGCTCTAGGGGCTAGTAATTCTCTCTCTTTTTTTAAATCTCAGGATCCCTTTAGACTCCTAAAATTACTGAAGACTTTGAAGAGCTTCTGTTTAGGTGGGTTATATTTATCAATATCATATTAGAAAGTAAAACAGAAATTTAAAAAATATTTATTCATTTAATAATAACAAACCTATTGCATTGTAATATAAATAACACATTTTCAATGAGATGTAACTTTTCCAAAAAATGAAAAATAAGTTAGAGTGACACTCTTTTAAGTTTTGCAAATCTCCAGAGTCTGACTGAATTGAAGACAGCTGAGTTCTTATATCTGTTTCAACATTCAATCTACTACTTTATGTTGTTTTGATTAAAGTATATGAGGAAAATCTGGACTCACACAGAAATGCAGTAGGAAAAGGGAAGGGTATTTTGTTTTTTAAATTTATCTTTATTGTTGAAAGTATTACAGATGTCCCCTTTTTTCCCATTGACCCCCTCCACCCCATGTAGGCCTTCACCACACTATTGTCTGTGTCCATGGGTTCTGCATATATATATGCATATAAGTTCTTTGGTTAAACTCTCCCAGGGAAGGGTTTTTTAATAGCACTTTTAGATAATTGTGGATCATTTTTTTAAAAATACTATGCCAAAACCTGACAAGCGGTTGCTTCTTAAAAGTAAGTAAAATGTGGAATCTGACACCACTCAGTGAACTTTTCATACTCTGTTAAATTAAAAATCACTGGTCTACTTTGCCCTTTGAATGGATCTTTTACCCATATGCATGAGTTTGTAACATTATGCATTGATTATTTAGAAAATATTAGTTCATTTAGTTTGCAGATCTTCTAATGCTGACACTTCATTATACAATATCAAAAAATAACATCCATTAACCTTCAGAAAAGTACTGATCTCATCAGAAAAATCTTTAATTACTGGGAAGTGGTGGCAGATTCAAGTTTTCAGAAATACTGATTTTCATTTTAAGTCTTGAATTTTATCATTGGCAGTAAGTACTGCTGTCTCTTTCCCCCTTGAATGATAGGTTTATGTCTTTCTTTTTCCAGAAAATGTCTACCAAATAACCAAGGCTGAATAATTATAGTTTGTCTTTCAGTTGTTCTTTTGAGTAAAAATGGTGTTCCATGAAAAACAAGTGACAAGTTCAGTTTGCAACTCGTTTCCTCATTTTGCACAAATGTTTTCTGTGGTGATAACCATCATATTTCATTGTGCGGCTATGAGTACTTCCCCTGTCATCACACAGAATGTTAAAAAGATGAGAACTCTAGGGCTGAGATTTAATAAAATTAAGGATTTTCAATGATTCCTCAAGTATATTCTTAAGTAAAACTGGCTCTTTTTCCTTCCCTATTGTATGTGGCAGAGAAGACTGCAATGACTAATGGTATAGTTTGGTGCCACTGCCTTCATCCCTGGTGCTGCATCAGTAGTTTTACTCATAATTGCTTTTGCATCATCAGTGCAAATCTTAATGCAGTAAAAAAAGGGGAGAGGGCAAGTTTATGAACATAATTTTAACCTAGCAGATCAAGGGGATCTTTGGGTTCTAGGGTACCAGAGACGATACTTTAAAAATCACTGCTTAGGAAAAAAAGAAGCCAATCAAGGATTCTAAGACAATCTGACAATTGTTTGTAAGATGCAGTAAGTGGGGAAAAGACCAGAGGTCTTATACAATGGATGAAAGACTAATGCAATGGCTTGTCAAAGGATGATTAGGGTCACAGATTGGTGACAGTGGACACAGAAAGAAAGGGATTATGTGAGCTAGAGTTTAAAATAAGTATCAACAGCACTGTTGATTCTTCAGTTGTTTGTGCTGCAAGAACAGCACAGGAGATGAGAGAATAAAAGAGCAATTAATACAGAGAGAGGTAGACATAACTGCTGATAAAGTAGGTTATATAAGCTAATTCTGCTTTAGTTTCAAGCAGGGAAGTACAAATACAAGGAAGGAAGGAAGAAAACCTAAAAGGGTAGCTTTTGAATTGAATTTGAAAGATTTAATGTAAGCCATTATGTCCAAATCACTTCAAAATAGCATTCAGTATCCCTCAGTATCTGCTGGGAAGTGGTTGAGGGACTCCTGCACACAGATACCAAAATCTTTGGATGCTGGAGCCCCTTATATACAGTGGTATAGTACTTG